TATTTTAAATTCCATGCCTGCCTTATCTATTTATCATTTTGCATTTATCACATTTATCATATGTTTTTGTAATATCTATATACCACAACTGTAAAATGGTGAAGAGATTAAAATAAATGAATGAAAAGGACAAGACCAGATTATTGATAATTTTTAAAAAAAAATATATTGAATCAAATACTTTAAATTGATGTGCGTATAATTAATTACTTTGAACACATTTTCTTTCCTTCTTTATTTAAATAAAAAAAGAAAGAAAATCAATAAAATATGTAATACATTACCGAGTTATTTTATTTTGTTGTTTCCGTAGTTTTATCTCTTTTAAAATACCACCCGTATAATATATTCGAATAATATTAGTTACAAACAACACAGAATGATCCATCAATAGCCATATTTAAAATAAAATGAGTTCCGAATGAATCCTACACGTTTCTCACACGATTCTTGCACGAAAGTCGCACGTTTCTCACACAGTTCTTACACGAAAGTCGCACGTTTCTCACACGCTTCTCGCACGCTCGCTACACGGTTTGCACGAAACGCTTTGGAGCTTACACGAAACGCTGCACGGTTTACACGAAACGCTACACAATTTGCACGAAACGCTGAACGGTTTACACAAAATGCTACACGGTTTGCACAAAATAAAAAGCGCACAAAAGTCACATGCTTTTTTGGGGTAGTAGCACGACCAAAAATGCATCAACTGACAAAGTTTTATGATTCTAAGCCAATAAGTACCTGAAATATTTAATTAAAGCCATCAATTTTCAAAAGTAGGTTCGATGACCTACTTTTTGGTTGACATACTCCAAAGACTCAAGATGCATCAACTGACAAAGTTTGATGATTCTAAGCCAATTAGTACCTGAATTATTTAATAATAGTCATATAAATTGAAAAGTAGGTCATGGTGATCTACTTTTCAGTCGACCTACTCCGAGGACCCAAGATACATCAACTGACAAATTTTGATGATTCTAAGCCAAATAGTACCTGAAAAACATAAAAAACAGCCATAAATTTTCAAAAGTAGGTCACGGTGACCTACTTTTTATTTGTCATACTCCAAGGACCCAAGATGCATCAACTGACAAAGTTTGATGATTCTAGGCCAATTAGTTCCTGAAATGTTTAATTAAAGCCATAAATTTTTAAAAATAGGTCATGGTGACCTACTTTTCAGTCGACTTACACCAAAGACCCAAGATGCATCTACTGACAAAGTTTGATGATTCTAGGCCAATTAGTACCTGAAATATTTAATTATAGTCATATAAATTGAAAAAGTAGGTCACAGTGAACTACTTTTCAGTCGACCTACTCTGAGGACCCAAGAAATTTTGATGATTCTTAGCCAAATAGTACCTGAAAATATTAAATATAGCCATGAAATTTCAGAAGTAGGTCATGGTGACTTACTTTTTGGTTGATGTTTTTTGGGAACCCAAGATGCATCAACTTACAAAGTTTTATGATCATAGGCCTTAAAATGTCCAAATTATGCCTCTAAAACGCTTTGAAATCAAATGCCTGCAAATTTCAAAAGTAGGTCACTGTGACCTACTTTTTAATAAATATGTTTAATGGCCCCAAGATGCATCATCTTACAAGATTTAATGATTCTAAACCTCTCAGTATTCGAATTAATGACCTTAATTGTTTTGAAAAAAGATTAACCATAGAATTCAAAAGTAGGTCAAGGTGACCTACTTTTTAGTTGACGTACTCTGAGGACCCAAGATACATCAACTGACAAAGTTTGATGATCATAGGCCTTAAATTGTTCAAAATATGCCTCTAAATCATTTGGAAAAAGAATTGCTGCAAAATTTAAAAAGTAGGTCCTTTTGAGTCAACATGATATGAGGTCCTTAGATGCATCAACTGACAAGATTTGATGATCCTAGTCCTTATAGTAAGCAAAATATCAACATTTTAATATAATGTAATTTTTGGTCAACTTTGAAGTGACCTTGTGACCACGCCCTTTGCCCCAGGGTAAATCCCCATGCAAATTTTAATCTACAACATATCCTCATCCTTTTGTGTAAGTTTGGTGATAATCTGCCCAGTGGTTCTTGAGAAGAAGATTTTTTAGCAACCAGTACTTTTGTTTCTGTTTTCCTAATTATCTCCCCTTGTTATAGGGTCACAACCCTAGTTTTAGTAAAAAAGGGAGCCCTTGGGCCAAGGATACCCTGTGACAAATTTGACAATAATTGGTCAAGGGGTTCTTGAGTTATGGCCCATATTCTAAAAGTTTATGCACACCGCACAAATGGCCATAGCATAAGCTCTTTGAGCCTTTGGCTCAGAAGAGCTAAAAAGGGTTAACCAGTTATGTCTAAAAAATTGTTACTTTAAAATATTTATTAACAGAATTAGAAAGACATGCAACATACCTTCTGATTCTTCACCCGTGAATTTGATTTAGGTGGGCAGTTCAATTTGTGTTGAATAAAGGCTTCGATATCTGTGAAATGAGTATGACATGTTCCACAAAAAAATATGTCAGAAGCATCTGAAAATAGAGCAAGTGCAAAATGTTACAGTATCCAGAGTGATTTTACAGAATTGATCTTTTTTTTTTTGCATTAGTAAAATCAATATAGTAATATACATCGTGCTCTTCACAAAATTAGGCATACTGATTTAAAGTCGATCTAATTCAGTTATTTCCTTTGCACTTGAAGAATAAATTTCATAGTTCCACTAACCTGCTTTGTCAGCCATTTTACAAACTTTGCTCTCTTCTTCCTGAACCTTTATAACAATGTAAAAATCACTTTGATGACTTTATCTATATGCTTGCTTGGATTTGCAAATTTTGTTTCTGCACTTGCATGAACTTTGAAAAATTTCAGCAAGCTGAAAAAAGTTTCAGTGCCTTAAAGAAATAGGTCAAGGCCCTTTAATTAACAGTTTGATTTAACATTAGATTGATTAATTAAAATTTAACGGTAAATTTTGATTGTGTTGCCTGCATTGCACTGAGAGCCAAAAACAATTACTTCCATCTACTAAAATTGAATTCTGCATCTATATATTAACCATGATAGTTGAGTGGACATTTAAATTATGAATGATTCCTACCAGTAACACCCATTTCTTTGATTCCCCTTTATTCAAATAATTGGTGAAAAATTGTCCTGATTCCAGAGAGAATAAAGTCATCAGGTAAACAACAGACAGACTAACAACTTGATAAATTGAAAGCCATGAAAGACAAACATTGGCTCAGAACAATAATCATCATGAACAAATTTTAAGTCATTTCTTTGAATGATCCAAAGATATTGCATAGACTCTATCTTACTTTCTCGTTTCTTTGTGAGCATGACCTGATATGAGCATTATAAACAAGATACAAATAGTTCCTGCAGATCATCTTTAAAAAAGACTAGAGATAGAATAAATTTAAATTAAGAGTTAGAGCCTGGACATGATATCACCATATCAATACCTACATGACCTTGACTTTTGGATTTGATATTTCAACAGGTCAGGCACAATCTCTTGATTAAGCTATATAGCTTGATTTAGCTATATAGCTTTATTAAGCTATTCAGAATAGCTTGATTTAGCTATTTTATCACACTTTTTTCTCAGATGTGTTATTTTCCAAATATGCACAAAAAGTTGCACCTTGGTGCAGTGATGATATTCAACCTTGAACTCTTATGAAAATAATGCATGTTAAAATCACTCATCAAATTGCGTCTCCTTAAGAGACTTTGTACTCAAAGTTCTAAAAGTTTTGGGGCTATATAAAGCAATTGATACAGTTACTTCTTCAGTGAAATTATAAAGGAGGCCAATTATGGTCAACAAGATAATTGATTGGTAATAATTCAGTACGAGAAGCAATCATACTTATCCATGCCTCAATGCACACAAGGTAGTGTACAGTTACCCAAACAATGGAAATTCATTTTTTGCTTAAAAAGTATTCAAATGCTGCAATGTTAGAACTATCTTTGTTTTGGGCTATTGATTTAATAACCCATATTACATATATAAATAGTCAAATACTTGCGACTTTTTGTCTATTTTGTACAAATAACATTTTTGTGAAAACCTGCATATAAATAGCTTTATCAAGCTATTTTGAATAGCTTAATAAGCTATATAGCTATTTCAAGCTATATAGCTTAATCAAGAGTTTGTGCTGGACTTGTTTAAAGGGGACACAGTTGTATTGTTTACATTTTAAATTTCTATGCTTCTTCAAAAAATAAAACCAGTTAAATGAATGGAACTTACAAAAATATTATATTCTTAGAATTCAATGACAACAACATTCTTCTTTACATCACATCAAATATCTGCTTTTGTAAACAGGGCACGAGCACTGTTATTGTTAATGTTTACATTTTACCGGGTGTGTTCAATTTGTTAAACTCTGCACACATTACTGAGCACGGACTGGCAATACTGGTGAGTTGGTTTTTGCTTTCTCACATTCCTATTCTGAATTTTCTGGATTATAATCTTAATATTTTTCATTAATACACAACACTATTTCTTCTTTTCTTAAGTATTAAGGATAAAGTTTACTTTGTGAAAGTGTGTAAGGATATGTCAATCCGTGTCCAAAAATTCGTAGTTTTAATAACTTCCGGGTGAAAGAAGTTTTCCAACACACTTTTTCTTGTGAAATGCTCTAGCAACATATGTCATGATATCATACAGAAAATTTGAGAAAATATTAACTTCAAATCTGTGTCCAAGCCTGTTTAATAGACAGGATCACAACAAACTTCTTAAGGTAAGGATTTGAATTAAGTGACAAATAGGAAGATGGTTTGGCAGGGATGCAAGCCAAAGCAATATTTCTCTCATTGAGGAAGACCATAGTTGTTAGGCCTAGGAACTACACAGCTCATTTAACCACCTTCTTCTATCGATTCAATACTTTTTATTTTAATTACCAGCATTTCTTGATTGCAGGCCTTGCAGAGAATGTTCACAACATTATCGTTGATATACTCCTCTCCCACACAAAAGCTCTTTTTATGGAAGTTTCTCCCACAAGAAATGCAAGAAATCTGTAAAAGAATTTCTAAACTTTCAAACATATCAATCCAATCCCATTTTTAAAGATATTTTTTTAGCAAAAAACTTCAATTTTGCAATGACATCATCTATGCCCAATGTGTTTTGCCAGCATGAAGATTCACAATTACCAGGAACTATCATGGTGTCAAATGTAGAACTTCTAAGAATGATATATGGATCGAGGTAAAGAATAGTAATCAAGCTCAAAATTCCATTGAAACAATTAAATAGGGAGCAGAGCAAACATGGACTTCTAAAACATCAGAGGTGGAATTAGGTGCCATCCATGAGTAAGCATCCCCTGTCAACTAGTCCCACACCATGTGCTCCTTGTCATGATTAAGAAATTTTTATTTTAGAATTGATGACTTAAAACGATTCTGTTCATATTTTTGTTTCATTAACTTGTTTGTCAAATGCTTGCCTCATTTTAGAAATTGTTTGTATCTTGAGCATGCTCTTGTGCATTGAATCAACTGAGAAACATAAACCCAATATGCAGGTGATATGGGTAAATTGCTACACATAAACTTGAAGTCAAAGTCAAGGATCCAAAATGTTGATGCCATTGAATAGCTCTTATAAAAATGTCTTGAATAGTTTCTTTGACATTTTTGAAGTCAAGGTCAAGGTAAAAAATGTTGATGATTGATTGATTGTGTGTTGTTTTACATCCCATTCGAGAATTTTTCACTTATATATACCGGTGAAGGGCTTCAAATTTAGACCTTTACTCGGCACTCAGGGCCATTGAGCATTGACGGTTCTTTATTGTGCCAACGCCTGCCATGACACGGGCTCAGTTTTTAAGGTCTCATCCCAAGGACCCGCAACTTTCACTTCAAAGTGCTGAGTGCTTGGCGAAGGAACAGTTGCTACCTATTTTTCATCAACTTAAGTCAGTCGTAGCCATGATTCAAACACACGACCTTCTGATCTTGGAGCAAGCACTCTACTGATTGAGCTACCATGACGGTAAAATGTTGATGAAGTATAGTTCCTTTAAACTTAGCTCAAAACTTATTTGAAACAAGAGGCCCATGGGCCACATTGCTCGGCTGGACACAATGACTTGGAAGAAGCAGAAATTAGTTCAGTATTGAAATGTTAACTGGGGGGGGGGGGGGGGTTAACACTTCCTCTGGATGCTTCCAAATTAATATTACTAAACATTGCTTTCCCGTTCTTCAGCAGAAAAATTTTAAAGATTTTTTCCACTATGTATTCCTGTGAAAAACTGATTAATTATGTGGCCCAACCCTACCCACCCTAAATTTGAACAAATTTGAATGTACACTACCTGAGGATGCTACTATAATAATAGGACCAATCTCATGGTTTTGATGTTCTTGAGCAGCAGATTCTTTTCAAAATGATTCCTATATAGCTTTGACCCCCTGCTGTGCCCCCCACCCCCACCCACACCCCTAGGGGTCATAATTTGAACAAACTTGATTCTACAATACCTAAGTTTGCTTCTGTATAAATAAGACTAATAATGGCTTTGTTGTTCTTGAGAAGAAGATTTTTAAAGATATTTCCTATGTAACATGTATGATCAGGTTCCTACAAGGGATATATAGGTTTTTCTTTTACTCTGTCAAAGTTAATGACTGGAATGATTATTAAGACAGCTCTGTCTGAGGATAAATCACACAGTACTTCAATTTTCTTTTATCTAGAGATGGGAAGTGGGTAAGGTACTACTTAAACCGTTTTTCTCCCCTTCTGAACCGATGTATCAACCTTATTCAGATTTACTACACGCAGAACTTAAATCAATTCCCTTGGATACTTGCCACTGGTGCTTATAACTTTTATACTTTTATTTTGCTCTTACTCTTAACTTCTTTATTGCTGATTCAACTTCCACTTCTTCAGCTAGCTTCTGAATGCCTGACTTTCCAAATGCTTTGCCCTATATACCCTTTGATTACTCCATTCAAAAGGTTTTCAAGTCATTCCACAATTTGAAGTCTTCAATGCATTTTATGCAAATGCCCCTTAACCATTACACCTATACATTCCTATGTAAAACTTTGACCCACTATTGTGGCCCCGCCTACCTCCAGGGGTCTTGATTTGAACAAACTTGAATCTACACTACCTGAGGATACTTTTATATTGATATGACTAATAATGGCTTAGCTGTTCTTGAGAAGAAAATTTTTAAGATATTTCCTATATATTCCTATGGTAAACTTTGATCCCTTGTTGTGGTTCTTGAGAAGTTGAAAATTTTACAGACAACAGATGATGATGATGGACGACAAATGGAAGCTGGAAAATCTTTGATAAGAAAAGTTCATTTGAGCCTTTGGGTCTTTAAAAAGTGAGGTCAAGGTCAAAGGAAATGTAAATTTCAAACAAGAGGCCCATGGACCAAAACACTCAGCTGAGTCCTTTTGGCCCTGCTGTTTTTCATAAAATTTTTCCTCTCATAATACTTTGATTCCCTATTGTGGCCTCATCCTACCCTGAGAGCCATGATTTGAACCACTTAGAATCTACTCTACCTCAGGAAGCTTCCAGGTATGTATCAGCTTGACTGGCCAAGTGGTTCTTGAGAAAATTTATTTTTATTTTTTATTTTTCAATATAAAACTTTGATTCCCTATTGTGGCCCCGCCCTATCTCGGCGGTCATGATTTGAACAATTTAGAAATTTCACTACCTAAGGAAGCTTCCACGTTGGTTTTAGCTTTACTGGCCCAGTGGTTCTAGAAGATTACCCTCGGAAGGGGGCTTGGCCCTTCATTTTAATAACTTAAACTCCTCTTCTCTAAAGGATACTTTGTACCAAGTTTGGTTAAAATTGGCCCAGTGGTTCTTGCCAAGAAGTTGAAAATGTGAAAGTTTACAGAATGTACAGACAGACGGATGGACGACGGAAAACGGGTGATCAGAAATGCTCACTTGAGTTTTCAGCTCAGGTAAGCTTAAAATGTTGTGGTATTGAATAGCTCTCATTAATATTTATCAGCATATGAAGTTTGATAAAAATATCTGAAATAGTTTCTTCGACACTGAACTAAATGCTAAGTGTGACCAAAATTTTAAAAATTAGACTGCAAATTTTTAAACAGATAAACAGTGAAAACACCTAACAATCTCACCTTTTTATCACTGATCAAGATTCCATGTCCACAACAAGGACAGGCATGTTTTTGATAAACTGAAAAAAAAAAACAGATTAATGATACAAATTAGGGATATACTGTATAGGGGGAAAATAAATCGCGGTGTTAATATTTGCTATATTCACGGTGTTAATAAATCTGTGAATTCAAGAAACAGTGAATAAGTTTTCATAAACCTCCATGTTTTATTTGTAAATTTGAGAATATACTACGATAGGTATAAATACGTGCAGTACATTGTCATTTCAGTAATTATGAGTAGTACTTGTCATTCAATTATTTTAATTATCACGCTTTATTTTAATTCAAATCAGCAAATAAAAAACTGCATTTGTTAAAAAGCTGTTTTAATAGCCAACTCTACGTTTCATCAATCAAAACACGTGGGTCATGGGTTTTGATTACCCGTGTGTAACTAATGTTACCATGTGTATTTTTACCTACTATTAGTTTTTATCGACATTATGGTTTTTTAAAAAATCATTCAAATACCTATCAAACTTGCTGAAGATGTGGAAAGATATTATTTCGTTGACATACATTAACACATTTATTACCGTCCAGTGGTTTTTCGCCACGATGTATTATCCCTTTGGAAAGAAGATCTTCTATAAGATATGCATATAGAAGAGTGTATAGGAAAGTCATTCGAAGTTTATAGTCGAGGACTTTTAATAACTGCACTTATTTTAATTAATCGTCAATTTATTATTAAATCTAACTGTTTTATATAAACCTACACTGTTGCTCGTGAAGTGGATATATAACGCTGATTAATGTTGCTATAGACAAGGGAGGTAACTTTTATTATATACCAATTCTGCGAATTCAACAAACCGCGATCGTGTATGAAGAGAGAAAAATGTGAAAATTACAACCCGAGAAATTAATCCCCCATACAGTAAACAATGGCAGATACAGGATACAGAAAAATAAGATCAGCTATAGCATGCCAATTGCATCAAAAGCATTTTCTGCACAGCTACATGAGTAACAGTGTGCACAAAAGGCACTAGCCCAATGCCCAAATACTAGCAAACAAAGGTAATTAGAGATTACATAGCTCATCTCAATGAATGTTGCCTTTAAGTTCAGCAAAATCACACACTAAACTAATAATCTAGTAGTGTGCATCCCTAGATGGAAGTTTGGTTCAGGTTGGTCTTAAAGTAAGGTACTTGCATAGGACCTGTTAAAAAATTATTCCAGTCATTCATCAGAAAATTTTATTCCAGTCATTCATCAGGAAAATGTAGGTCAGATCCAGCATCTGAAGCAAGTCTGTGAGCATGATCTCTAGATGCATCATCAATGCAAGATTTGTCCAGGTAGGTTTTATACCGTATATACTTGCCTATAAGTCGGATTTTTGGGAGTTAAACTTTGGTCCAAAACTCCATGTCCCCCTGCGAGATGATATTCATGACTTAGAGAACTTTTATGAGTTGTTCATCATTGTTCATGAATGCTCATAAAAGATTCATAATAGTTTCATAAAAGTAGTTCATGAATTTAATTCATGAACACATTCATACTGAAAAAAATTTATACTTCATGAACAATGATGAACCTTTATGAAATTCGAAAATCTTCAACATTACACAGCAACACAAGTTTCATGATTATTCATGATTATTCATGACTCAATACAATTTAAATTCTATAATGATTCAAATTTATTGATATTGAATTATAAGTACAATTTTAATTAACTGAGTGTTCTCCATTGGTAATTGCTTAACAATACATGTATTACAATACTGTTCAATGTTGAAATGGAAAGACTAAATAGA